CCCCCCTCTCTCTCTCTCTCTCTCTGCGAATGTATCTCTCATTCGCTCTATTCCTCCCCCCTCTCTCCCCCCATCTCTTCATTCTTTCTCTCCTTCTCATTCTCTCTACATCTTTTACCTCTCTTCCTCTTTCTCTCCCTGTCATATAATTTCTCACCCTCCCTTCTCACACATTTTATTTTTTTCTCTCTCTCCGCATAATTAAAGATCTCTCTCACCACCTCCCCCCCCTCTCTCTCTCGTTATCTCTCTTTCTCTCGTTATCTCTCTCTCTCTCTCTCTCTCTCTCTCTCTCTCTTTCTCTCTCTCCCCTTCTCTCTTATCTTATACTCTTTTTTTCTCTTCAACTTTCAAAGTTCAGATAATTAAGAAAACTCTTTCATACCAATCTCACGACAGAGGGCCCTTTGTAGAAAAAATGACCTTGTTAATCCAATATTGATATCATGATACTAACTTCCCAAATAGTAGTATTTATCAGAGAGTTAGTTCCATCTCCAACCAAGATAAAAAATACATCCCCCCCAAAAAACAACAACCAAAAAAAAACAAAAATACAAACAAGAACAACAACAGCCAAAAACAAACCAATCCCAAAACCACATTATAACAAAGAAACATACATACAAACAAACAAACAAAAATCAAAGAAAGAATGAAAAAGAAAGAAAGAAAGAAACCAAACTACTCAACCAAACAAATAATCAAAACCAACAAACGAACCAACCAACCAACCAACCAACAAATCAATCAACCAACCAATCAACCAACCAACCAACCAACCAATCAACCAATCAACCAACCAACGAACAAACAAGCAAACAAACAAACAAACATCCAATTCAATGAACAAACAAACAATCCAAAACAAACGATCGGCGCGCTCATATGACCTCATGCAATTGCGAGCGCCGTAAAACCCCATACTTAACCAAACGATCAAACCAAACAAACAAACTTACAGTGGCCCCTGCGAAAGCTCTCCGAAAATCCTCCCTGTTTCCCGCCTGCGCCAGAGAGACCAGGGTGTTGGTGACAGAGGTGCCCACGTTAGAGCCCATCACGATGGGGATGGCGTTGGGAAGGGGGATCACTGAAAGTGAAAGACACCGAGGAAAACTTCTTCTGACGGAACTTTTCAGGGAGTTAGGTTGAAAAGA